AAAAACTCGAATCATTTTTTTTCGACTCGAATCTCAAATCGAAGCGATACTTGGTTTGCGAATTGAATCAATAAGCAGGTCCCTAAATGCATGTTTCAATTGGAAATAAAACTGTTTTCTATGTAACATATATACTCTATTATATAATGAACTAACTTTAGCAACTCTGTTGCTAAAGTCAGTTCATTACCGTTAAAAGATAGTTTGGTAAGTTGATGTCTCCAACGGAATGATATATGGGGAGAAGAAATAAAAAGTCAAAAAATGTCATTTAATAACCCCATTGAGATTATTTCCGCCTCAGGAAAGATTATAAAAAGCAATATAAGGTAATTATCTTGCTCAAAAAATGAGAATCCTTCACTAAATAAGTTGGGAAATGTTAGTATGGAAAAGGATGGGTGCCGGACAGTCTTCTTTTATTTTTGGTCATAGCATATCTTCTGATCTAAAATTAGCATCTAGACCAAGATTAATAATTACTTCTATACCTTTTTGGATAGGAGTTGACAAGTCGTTACAAGGAGTTGACAAGTCGTTACAAGGAGTTGACAAGTCGTTACAAGGAGTTGACAAGTCGTTACAAGGAGTTGACAAGTCGTTACAAGGAGTTGACAAGTCGTTAGCCTTAAAATTGCTTTTTTATCATCTATCAAAATTTAGTTTTTCTATTTTATCAGATGAAGTATTGCTATTCAAGCAATTCGCAATGGAAAGCAATTCTGTTAATGCAGATAACTCTAATAAAGTAGATTTTTGACGATATGTTGCCGATAATGTTGATTATCGGCAACATATCGTCAAAAATAATAGTTCTTAACGGGAAAGGTACCTACCACGGCATGGGTTTAATTTCAATTTCACAGTTATCTAGAGCACCTCTTTTAAAAACTAGACGTCTTAAAAAGCGAAAACGAGCATTAAGTAACGCAAACCGAGTTGATTTTAACATTTTAACATAGTTCCTTTTGATGAATCAAGTTATAATCGTTTGTTAAAACTGAAATTGAAACCTGTTCATGAGCTTATGCAAGTGTTAGTGCTTCCAATAAACTGAATTACAATCTGTTATCGTTAAAACAGCCGTTGCGCAGTGGTAGCACACTTGCCTCAGAAACGTAAGGTCAATGGTTCAAACCCCGCCTCTGGGCAAGTTTTGCGACATCGGTTGGGAAGGAGGCGTAAACTTTCTATTAAATGCTTTTCCACGGTGCTCTGTGATAAGACCGTAAGGACTTCTTGGGGCACCTAAAATCAACATAAAAAAAAACAAAAACAAAAAAAAACTTCATTATTTTTCAATTCAAAATAAAATCCTCGCCCCAATCGATTTGATTTCATGTAGCATGTAACTAGCTTCTAAAAAATATATAAAAAAGCAACAGTTACAATTTCAATTATTGATCTGAATCCAACGGATAAAACTTGTATATATTCTACTCTTCTCTTTGTAATAGACGAAGCAAGGAAACACGGTGTTCATACACCGTCTATAACTTTTGATTATCCATTATGGTTAAAGGCAACTGTTATCATCAAAGATTATAATTTAAATATAGTTTGACTCGGAAGGTTTCATTTTTTAATGAGTTTTCTGTGTAGTATTGGAAGATTCATGGCAGGTTCTGGCTTGAAAACTATTTTTCAGAGGTTTATGCTGAGATAGTTTAGTTCAAATTATGTGAGGAAAAGCGGTATCTAGAGCTCCACGGGCACACTTTTTTGCTCACAGTGCACTGTACAATTTACTTTTAAATGATATTGTTGTTGTTTATGAGATAAATTTTACTGAATTTGAAAACATTTATTTAAAAGCTATGACTAGAACTTTCGATTATAACGAACTTATTGAATTCCAAGAAAGTGAAAACTACAAATTCCTGTAAAATGCAATCAATGAATATAAAAAAAGAAAAAAAGAAAAAAATCAAGGACACTTCAAGTATGGATTCAGTATGTTGAATATATGTTCAACATTATATAATATATAATGTTGAGGAATATATTCTAGCAGAATAAACTTCTAACTTAATTTTCTACTTGACACAAAACGTAAGGGTTACAAAATTCTACACATGCAAATTATGCAAATTATGCATAAGGGTTACAAAATTAAATTTATTCTGAAAAGCAAGTTTCATGATAATGCATATTCACCCTATACAAAAAATGCTAAATCTTTTTGCTCCTGCAAATTATGCAAAAGGTTCTAGAATTTAGATTTCATGCTTTAAGAAAATCCGATAGAGACTTGGCTGGATTGTGGACAGATCTAACTATAGAACAGACTTTGAAGCAAAGTATAGAAAATAAAGGTGGTTTAATAAGAGGTAAAGGATTTACATACAGTGTTAGAAATCTTTGTTTCTCAAGTTTACCTGTTAGTACTGCATTACATAATATAATGATTAAAATGTCTGGAACATCTTTTCAATGATGCGAAGAACTTAAAAAATAATGTTTTCAAGAAGATCTTAAACATATATCAAAAGTCTAAACTCATCTAAATCACCAGGCCCGAAGGAATTACACCCAATAATATTTAAGAAAACTTGCTTTCAAAAGTCTAAACATTTATCTACTATTTTTAACAAAGTTCTTGAGAATGAAACAATACCCCAAATGTGGAAAGACGCAACAATTACACCCATACTCAAAAAAAGGAGGCAAACCAAAAGTAACTAATTTCAGACCTAATAGTATAACTTGTACCGTCAACAAAAATCTTTGAAAAAATTATAAAAAATCATATTACCTGATTAACAATAACTTATTAAGTCCACACCAATATGGATTTCGTCCAGATCATTCCTTCTTAACTAACCTTTTAACTGTAATTAATTATTGGACATCATCACTTGTTAATAATATTCCCATCAACAACACTTATCTCAATTTTGAAATAGTCTTTTACAAAGTTCAACATAAACTTCTTGTTTCTTTATAACTTCCATTTATTAAAACTTAAAGCTTATGATATAAATGGATCAATACTATATTGGATTAAAAACTTTCTGAGAAACCGTAAAGAAAGAGTTGTTGTTAATGGTAAATACTCAAGCTGGGTACCAGTTGGGCTCTTTCCTTTCAGGATTACTTTTTATATATATGTCATCGATATCCCTGAAGCAATCAAATCAAAAGCTGCTCTTTTTGCTAACGATATCAAAATCTTCCGTTCTATTGAAAATACTCTTGTTACTTGGTCTCAAAAATGGGGAATAAAATTTAACATTGATGAATGTCCTGTAATGCACTTAGGACACAATAACAAATTCCATTTTATTTAGATTTAGGTGTTAACATAGATTCGAACTTATTATTTTCCAAATACACAGCTATTCAAGTCAACTAAGAACATTTACATTATATCCAGATTTATAATCTTTCAAAAAGCTATTGCTAGTTCTAGTCCAGCCTCATCTAGAATACTCTGAATCAATTTGTAACCCTGGACTTCTCAAAGACTAACGGCAAATGGAAAATGTGTTAAGAAGAGCTTAGATACGAATCAAAGAATTATATGATCTACCGTATGAACAAAGATTGTTGGCGTTAAATATGACAACTGTAAAATACAGACTACTTCATGCAGATCTAATTAACGTCTAAAAATGTTGCAAAAGTAACAATGTTGATTTAAAATAGAAAGTCAATTTAAAATAGAAAGCCAATTTATTAATCGTGGTCATGTATATAAACTAAAAAACATTCTTTACGATTAAATCTATGTTTGAATTTTTTTTCTTTAAGAATAATAAATAAATGGAACTTTTTTCATAATGAGATTGTATGAGCGTAATCTCTAAAAACGTTTAAGCTGCTTCTAGACAATCATCTAAAAAATGAATGGCTTCTCTATGACTAATCCACTTTTATTTTCTATTAGTTATGCAAACTCTGTAGTTTTCAAATATTATATAACTAGACAGGCAGTTTATGTCTATACAATTTATTGTTAAACCTTAATGTTAAAAATAAAACATTTACAAGAACACGATAAAAAAATATTGGGGTATTAAAGATTGCCAATCTAATATTGAAAGCCTAAAAGACTATTTAGCTTTATTTATGCTTGGAGTTAGTGTGACACAACATCTGCAATATTCGGAAAAGGAAAAGTAAGCTTTTTTAATTTAGTGAAAAAATCTAAGAAATTTCAGGTTAATGCGGAGTCTATAAGTGATTATCGGGCAAATCAACTAAGGTTGGTGAAAGTTCAATTGTAACATTTAAAGAGTTGTATGGGGGAAGCAACAATGAAACCTCAACAAAGCTTAGGTTAGTTTATTATTATATTTACCAAGAACTCAACTAGATATTTTAAATTTTTTAGACTTTTATGAAATTGAGCTAACATTTATTGAACTTTCTATAGAAGTTTATTGAATATATATTTTGAATATACTTCTATATAGATTTACGAAATACCTCGATATGATGTATAATAAACCTTTAGAGCCAAAAAAAATGCCACCAATGGAAAGAGTAGCATTCTTCCATGGACTCCGTGTCCATTTGCAAATAATTACCTGGAATCTACTGAGAATAACTTGAATTTAAAAACATAAGGATGGGGCTGGACTAATAAAAATTATTTATCCAATCAAAACTGATAAAGGAGTTGCGCCGCAAATGATGGCTTATTTTTTGGTTACTCTAGACATATTTCTTAATACATGTACCAAGTTTAGGTTTTGTTGTATTTTTTTACGGGTTCAGGTCTTTTTTACCTAATTTTGCTGTACAGTTCCTTGCCATTGCTCATTTTTATGTTACACTTAGTTCATTATGTTTGTTTTTTCACATTGTTGTTTTTAATAATGACCAATGTTTAAATAAATCCGATAGTTTATCTTAAAGGAAAGACATAATAAAAAGCCGGAAGAATTAATTGAAATAAGTCGACGTCTACCTACCTAAAAAAAAGATACAAATAATAAAAATAGAATGTAGACCATTTTAAACTATAATATATCCGTCAGTTTAGCAATACAATATAAACTATAAAACATTTTGTATTTCAATAAAAGTTTATTAGAGTTCATATATCATATTTAATACATATTGTTTATATACAACACAATAAGTTTAAGTTCAGAAAAAAGTTAAAGCTTGACCATCTTTTTTATGCAATGATACTTATGTTTAATATGTCCTGATTTCCAAATATTTTTCGCCTGTCAAACTGCGTTTGCTAAATTTAAAATAAAACATTTGAATACTTCAATATATTATTTTTAATAATGAAAGCGTATTAAAGTACTTACACTTACATTTAAAATACGAGCTCCACACACAATAATGTATGATCAAATTTACATTGTTGCCATTAATTAACACAAGCATGTAGCTTTTTTTTGGTAATAAAAATCAATAAATTACTAAATTATGATGATGAAGTAGATAATATTGATAATGATGATGCGATATATCAATATATTATTTATTTAACTTGAAAAAACAAGCTTTAATAATTTTTTTTTTTAATTGATTCAATTACAGTAATGTAAAGTAATGAGCCTCATATTTAACGAAAAAAACAAACAATTTTGTTGAATTTTAAAAAAGAAAACAACTTCTTGCGATCTTGAGACAAACTTCTTGTGAGGAGAAGACAAAAATCTACAAACAACATATGAGCATAAGTATTTCAAGCGCTAACTTGATGTCTATGGAGTTGTTGTGACAACCTAACCAACAAGTAATTGTTAATTTTAATGTAATTAATTTTAATGTAATTAATTTTAATGTAATTAATTCTAATGTAATTAATTTTAAGATCATTGAAAGTTTCTTAATGATCTTAAGACAATTGAAAATTTCAAACTTTGTATTACTTTTAAAGATAGCAAGAAATTATTTAGTACAATAAGTAAAAATATCTAAAAAAATATATCTTAAGATTTTAAATAAAATAATAATTTTTTAAAAAATAGATTATTTCCACAAAGAAATGTCTGTATATGTTTTCCAGTGTCTTCCAGCATATTGTAGTTATATAAATATTAATAATAATAATATACTTATATATATATATATGTATATATATATATATATATATATATATATATATATATATATATATATATATATATATATATATATATATTATATATATATATATATATATATATATATATATATATAAATATATATTGATGTATATATATATATATATATATATATATATATATATATATATATATATATATATATATATATATATATATATATATATATATATATATATATATATATATATATATATATATATATATATATATAAATATATATATATATATAAATATATATATATATATATATATATATATATATATATATATATATATATATATATATATATATACTAATATATATAACTTTTTGATGGTACTTTATGTGTCATGTCATTTACAGCACTCATCAGCCATATATTTAAATCAAGAGAAAACCGTTTAACAATACATTTAAAAAACCTGTAAAACAATTGAATGAGTTCTGACTTCAAATAATAATAGTAATAATAATAATAATAGCAATAATGATAATAATAATAGTATGGAAAACTTTTTACTAATCGCCAATATCAAATTGGGTAAGAAGAAATCGGTTTCTATGTCTGCACTTAGAAACAATCTCACTCCTTTTATTCAATACATTTGTAATTTTATAAATTAAAATTTCATATTTTTTGGTGAAACATAATTTACAAGATTAAGATGCTGGATTATATGCCTTACATCGCCTATGAATTTTCCACTTAATTATGCCAGTAAATTACTTCTAGGCAAAAATAAATTCTACAAATAATAAATTATACAAAAGTTTTAACTATTGGTATCAACGTTCTTATATTTTATTCATTAAGTACCATTAAATAACGCAATTTTTCGAGATTTATAATTGCAACTATTCATTTTTAAATTGCGTCTAAACTTTTTCTTCAACCCTTGGATTTTTGCAGTTATTAAGTAAGGAAAACTTTATAGTTCTGATCAGGGAATCTTTGGACCATTCTTTTATAACATCGCAACATCATGCTTGCAGCAGCTTATAAGATATGTTTATGTTATTACTTACATTTCATATCGTGTCGCAATAAGCACGAAAAACCGTATAAAGATGATTTTCCACTCATCCGTTTTTCTACGGGAAAGGGAAAAATAAACACGTGAGCATGCGCAGTTTCCTTACGGGCAAATGAAAACTTTTATTACGCATGCTCACGTGATTATTTTTCCGTTCACTTTCCCTTTCCCGTAGAAAAACGGATGAGTGGAAACTCATCTCAACCCACAACAGTATAGTTTACACGGTGCAATCAGTATAAAGTAAACGCGAAATAGATCATTTAAAAAATAACGCAAATTAGCTTCAATCAATTTGTTGTTGACCTGTTTTAGGAAGAAAATATTTATATAGAATAAATATAGTTGAAATTGATCAAATTATTATATAAAATCCATTTATCTGGTTGTGTGATCGAAACAGTAACCATCCTAACATCAGGAACCATCTAAGTTTTAACTAAAGACACTAATGTATTTCCTGTCAGACCCTTCACCCTAGTCAAATACCTTTTAATTTTTTAAGTCACAAGCCACAAAACTTTTCAACATTGTAACCTATATTTTTTTATTGAGTTACCACTGAAACTCATAAGAACATAGGTTGAAGCATAGCTAATATGAATACCCTTAAAAAATAACATTTACAAATCAAAATAACTTTATAAAATTTTAGTTAACAGGATTAGATTTTATTGAAAAAGTTCTCATTAAAAAAAAAGATTTCATATACAACTTCAGATTGCTTAGGTTTTAAATAATAATCTAATTAAAAACAGATGAAATTTAGATTTTACTTACTTGACACCGCTCAAGTCTTAGAATAGTCATTTCTTGCCCACAGATACAAATTTTATAAACAGGGATTAGTCTGTTTTTATTCATAAAAAATTTATCAACTTTTATTATTTATTTCTTTTAATAAGTTCAGCTTAAAGAGCCAGCTGCCGTAAGAAGTGAAGCTTAAAAACGTAGTTAAATCTAATTTAATTATTTAGCAAAACAAGTTGAATTTCGGGAAAATAAACGAAAGTTTATTTTTTCTGAAATTTAATTTTAAATGTCTGGTCAGGCTTTTTCTTCTTGATTGTTTAGAAGTTTTTGGTTTGGTTTTCTTTTTAGTGCAACTCTCATTTTTACTTTTATCATTTGCCGAAATATTGCCATCCACATCGATGTAAGCGCTGCTATCAAAAAAGATAAACTGATATTAGAATAAAACAGAACTAAAATAGAAACAAACGCTCCCATTATCATTAAATATATTTTGTTATATGTATCAAATATATTTGTATTAGTATACAAAACTTTATTTACTTTTAAATTTTAATATAAATGTCATTTTA